GGTGGACTCAAGTGACTGTGGTTTTGTCAGCCACAGACAGCGTGAGCCAAAAAATCACGCACTTTATTACGAAACTGCACAAATGGAAATTTATATTGATGTGATATGTAGGTAATTTGTCTTCTGCAACAATTGAGAAATTATATTTATTTTTTGTCCTTTAATACATAAACGTTCCTGACAGCGCTTCACATCATGAAGGAAATCTAAACCACGTGTGTCAGATCCGCTGCAGAGTAGGTGCAGTCGTATTTGGGAGAGGTAATGAGTGAGTGAGTGAGTTTAGTTTCACGCCGCTTTTAGCAATATTCCAGCAATATCACTACGGGGGACACCAGAAATGGGCTTCACACATTGTACCCATGTGGGGAATCGAACCCAGGTCTTCGGCGTGACGAGCGAACGCGTTAACCACTAGGCTACCCCACCGCCCCGGGAAAGGTAACGATGTAAGTAGTAATAATAGTAACAAACACACCCAAATAATAACTATAAAAATAAACATGATTTAAAAACAGGTTCAAAACGACTACTACCACATTGCTGCTTCTGCTACTACAATTGATTCGAAATAATTGTGAGTGAGTTGAGTTTTACGCCGCACTTCCAGCTGTATGGCGGCGGGATTCGAAATAATAAGTAACATTACAATCAAATAAATATTGATAAGAATTTTTTCAAGATGTAGGAATAAAAAGAAAGTATGGAAATGATGATGATGATAATGATGAAGATGATGATGATGATCCGGTGCCGTCTGAGTCCCATACCGAGCTAATCTTCGGTGTATATGAGCTCGATGTCAGTTTTAAGTGTCCACTAAAGTCGACTGCCGTCCCCTGATCTGATCTAAGTGGGCAGTGATTGAACCGTAAACATCCCATACAGTTAACGAAAGCCACCCCTTCAATTTGAGAGTCCCTTGTCCCCGGCGATCCACGGCGTGTATCCTATACCCCATTAAGATAAAGCCAGGTCGGGGTTTGATAAACTCGGCTGTCCAATGTTTACTTTGAATCGTTATACAGTTATCCGTCAGACTAACCCCGGCTTGTTCCTTCTCACGTTATCCAGCAAATGGAAGCAGAATGAATGAGCTCACCAACTCCTTTACGAACATGCAAGATCGCTTTCAGACGGGCAGAGTATGCACACAGACACGATAATCTGTACAGTAGGGGGCTGTACCCAACACACACTCACACCCTCTCCCACCCTTATCCGACTCGGACTGTGCAATGTAATGGGTAGAACCTCCCAACATACTCGCGCTGCTCCCCACGAGGGAAGCTATGTGTGAAGTTGGATGTAGTTTGTAGAGTGGGAAGACTCGTTGTGGATTGTTGGTGTTTCTTGTAACCACACGTCGTGTTGTAGTGTGTAGTTGGCACATTTCTCTGCACACATTTGATCATTTTAGTTAGTTTGATCGTAATTCTTGGCTCATGCTGTTGATCACTGGATCGTCTGGTCCAGACTGGATTACTTACAGACCGCCGCCTTATAGCTGAATATTGCGATGTAAAACTAAACTCACTCACTCACTTTTGGCTCATGTCATTCATGTGGTCGTAATAGTTGGCTCGTTATAATTGATCAAATTTTTTATTCGTTTGATCATTATAGTTAATCATTTGATCGGAATTGCCACCGCCGTTGCCGCGTTTGATCATTGTAGTTACAGCTATTTGTTCATTGAATCCGACGTGTGTGCATCTGATGATCAAATTTGATCTGTGACGTTTTTCAAACTTATGGTTGTTGCTGACATGTTTGATTTTCATATTTTGACGCAGACAAAAAATGGTAAAATATACAAACTATTTCATGTAGGTATAATCCGGTGTCTGCTTGGCTTTGATCCATGGTTGTGGGTGGATTGACCCTATTACAGTGTCCAGGACATCGATACTGCGCATGTCAATCTCAACACAATTCTCCCTAAAACGGTAGATACTCAATATTATTAGCGTCCCCGCTCAGGGGCGCAATTACAGGACGAGCTGACAGGCGAATAATAGTGGGATAACGAAGACGGTAACAAATTATACTTGTTCATTTTGGGGGGTTAGGACAGCGAGACAGTACCATTCGAGTCATTTCCAACAAAGCTAACCACAAGTGGGTGCCTACCTACAACAAATATGACACCCTCACACCTACCATTACCCCGTCAAACGGCTGTCGGATCTGATCGGGTGTGCAGATCGAGTGTTCCGAGTCATATTGTGTGTATAGTCGGGCAGCTTTATTTCTATGGAACATCACCAGTACGCTCCAGTCAGTACCCGCCAACTATGTCGACCGGCTTTATCTCTGGCCATCTTTCCCGAGGTCCATTTTCTTTCAAAGGAAGACAGCTACGGCGGAGGCTAACATAGCTGCTCCTGTATGTCCCAGACAAGATGTCGTCTGCTCACCAATTATTTCACGAGGCGATGTTTGACGACGGTTGGAAATACACAAGTGACGGATATTAATCATAAGTACACCTAACCCGACACAGGGGCCAATTCGAGTGAAACTTGCGTCGTTCTACGTAATAGTGCTCACCTTACGTATTACATTAGAATTACATATTACAATCTTACGATTGTCCAGTTTGTGAACTGGCCGCGTCACTGGTTACCTGCTCGGTACGAACATACATCATGTAAATGGACGCTGTTTTTACCAACCAAGACTTTGACCGAATAATATGGTTTAAGACGTTTTGCCCCGAAAATTTTGACCTTGCTGGATATGAGATTTACGTCTGCCTAGAAAGATGGATGAGTGTGGGTGGGTGTCAAGAATGGCGTGAGGCTGGATCATGGTGACAGTGTCTGTCACGCGAGCGGAAGGTCGATCCCCGGGCGCTTCTTGCTTGTTAGTACGTTCACAAAGCTACCGTAGCACAAAGGTGGTCGCAACCCACTTACTTACGACTGCCGTAGCGCTAATACCGCTTTGTGGAACATGGCCCTGGTGTTCGACATTGACACGTTAGGAGAAATGCTTGCCCTGTTTGACAAACGTCGGTATGGTATCTCTGTTAGCACAAGTGAGGACTAGTTCAAGGACACAACCTGGAAACACGCACACGCACGTACATGCACACACACATACATCGCTTTACAGGCTGAATGATGTCAAACGCTGATCTCCATTTCACATTACTTAACCCCTGGCAAGACCCATTTTGACAGACTCACCTGTCAATCAAAGTTTTAATAAAACCGTGCCTACCGGCCGTGTTCTGAACGTAGAGGGAAGGACTCGCTCACCGTGATGAGAAATTTTGGGTGCCCAAGGCGAGTCTGTCATTTAGGACGACTTGTCAAACGTCATGTAGAATGGAGTTACACGCTCCATATTCACCTCAGCACCAGTTGTCTCCCCTCGCTAATACGGGACAAGTTTTATGCCCTAGTCCGTCTGCAGTGAGATAAGAATGTGGTTCTGAAGGAATACGCTGTATGTTATAACCCCTATATTGAAATATATTCTATTTCTACCAAATACATTACCACGTGCAGATCTTCCCATTACCACCTCCCATCTCCGACAAGAAACCGGAAGTGCACTACCACACCACCATGTCATCAGCCGTTATCAGTGGACTATGGACGTATGGTCTTGTTCAATGTATGCCATCTCCTTATGAATTTTACTCCAACACAGGACTAATTGGCAGCCATGTCCTGCTCACCATATCGATGCGACACTAATTTGTGTGTTGTATAAATATAATCTGAATGTTACCAGCACTGCCTCAGAATACATTGCAATTATTGAAAGTTGATTAGTTTAAAGCCGTTTGAAAGAAACTAAGCCTTGAACCTAGCAATCATTGTATGGCGGCAATGATGCAAATGTGTATACTGCGCATCAGTTATTACAGTGGCGAAATATGATGGCTGCTTTCACGTTAACATTAGTTGCAGAACATGTTTTACGTTTATGTTTCATCCATATTAAAAGTTCTTGAAGTGCGAGTCTTAAACTTCAAAACGTCGTGGGAATCAGTGACGTGGATTCATGAACTCGCACGCTTGTCTCTTTAGAGATAAAGCTCCATCAACATCACCGTTCTCCACCACCCTCGCTCCACCATCCACCACCCCCTCGCCAGTCTAAGATAAACGGTCTATCGCCCTCATAAAACTTATCGGATTTTCTCAGGGTCAAAGGTCAGCCATCAATGTCGGATAGACATGCAGGAAATCACCTCTACGTTGATTGATAAATAGCCCAACTTAACTGACATCTGATTTGGAGTGGCTTTGGATCGAGAGTTTTTTACTCTCTAACGACGCGGATATCCTTGTTTTAAACATTTCGGCATCACTGAGATCTCGTGCTTCTGCAGTATACAATTGGCAGGGCCGTGTTCTTGAGGCTGATCTAAGTAGCCCCCAACCGCGATGCTAAGGCCATTAAGCGGATCCATTTCACTGTGGAGTGTAGTCTTCCTACGGTGGTCGCTGTAATGGCGCTCATTGGTATGGCGTCTAGAAGGGCTTTCGTAGGTCGAGAGGTAGGAATGAAGCTATTATCCGAGTGTGCCTGGTGTTTGTTTAGGTAGTTAAACGATTATTAATGGTGAAAGGAGGACCTCTTATCACGTGACCTCCGCCATCGGCCACCATTTTGCCTGTGAGGCCGCCATTTTGTTTCGTGTTACGGGATCGTGAGATAAAGCAGACGTCATTTCAAGTGGCGTTTTGAACGCAACGTAGTGAATTGTTTTGTTTTCCATTCGGACAGATGTGGGCCTTTCTCAGCCAACTACTTACAAACATCTCCTTTTTATGCCCCTCGGAAACGAACCTGGTGGCCCCCCATAGACTAACATGGAGTCGTGTTCAGCTTGAATATTAGACATTTGGGAAATATCTAAAGACATCCTGATATATCACTCGTTGAAAATTCGCTATATTCCTTTACGTGACATGATATGTGTTTTTCGTGACTGAATGTCATATCTGAATATTTACGTTATCTATTTTATGTTGCAGGCGAACTTCGGTGCTATTGTAACGAGTCTGGGTGTGTCAGTACCGGCTATATGTGCAAGTCTAACATCGGCAAATGTTATACAGCCATGGAGACCGAAGGGGAGGTAACTCGCACACGGCACGGTTGCTATGACAACCTACCTGAGTCATTAAGGACAATGTGTGGAGAAGGGGAGGAGCTTGTTGAACCACGTGACTCCCAGTCGACAGTGACAGTTATATTCAAATGTTGCAAAGACGATATGTGTAATTACAAAGAAAAAATAATAGACATTCCTATAGTACAAGCGTCTAATTCAAACGGGAGTACGCAGAAAGGTATGTACACTATTTGTTCCACTCTACCATTTGTTATTGATAATCCAGTGAACTGAAGGTCGGTCTGGCTCGTGACATGGCCAGATTCAGAGAGTTTGGCGTTAAAACGTGCGGTAATGTGCACCATACAAATTCCACTCCCGGGACAAAAAATAACACATCCTCGGTGTTCAAGGGTCTCAGCAGTAGAAGACCGGAAGGGAGGGATGAAATATTAAAATCAGATCGCGTCTACAAATTGCGAGCAAGAGATCTCGCACGACATATTGTACCGTGGCGATGTTTTGGAATCAAGATAATTGATTTCATACTCCAAGGAAGTGCGGTAAACGGCCGTCTCTAGTAGGTCCTGTGGGGGAAGGCGAAGTATGATCGTTATTATATCAGACTGCCAAACAAATGGCGAATCGAAAACAACCTCTTCCGAAATAACAAATAACATTTCCGAGAAATTTATGGAAGCAACGTCAATTACAAGATCTCCCAAACGTGCTTGATCGCAAAACAGGCGTCGCTCGGCTATAGGTTTAATTCTTTACAAATGTGAATACGGCTCTTTAACCTTTATGAATTATTTAATTCTTTTTAGCGCAAGCGGCGAGTATTGTCTCCTACAGTGGCGCTTACACGAGACTTGCGGGGTCTGAGTGTAAGATAAAAATTTAGTATCCGTATCCGACCAGGGCGCGACTGCATTATTTTATCAGCATTGCAGTCTCGGCTTTTCCACTTTTTCCCCCAAGAAATTGACAACGATGCAAAATATGACGAGATGCTCTCTCGTCTTTATTGCCCGGATTTTACCCTCCCCGGAGGAATTATCTCCCTTTGAACTTTCTCACAGATGGCACTATTCGTGCAGTTAATACAGCGTCTTCCCAGCCTGGGGTTAATGTTTGGCTCGTATGTTTGGATGTGTGCACGGTGGAACGTATTCAGTGGAGTTGGGAGCGTGGACGACAATGCAGATCGTTGGCGTAGATTCTCTCGGTTATCGTAGAAGCATCTTTTTCGGAACTGGATAATTTTCCTGGGCTCCTAACACACTCTCAACGTGTCAGAAGATTAAATCTAAGCCCGAGATTTTAAAATGGCGTCTCACTCGCTCAGTATTTTATTACCGAAATATTTCTGGCTCTGTAGAGTTATGTAAGTGTTATGAAGTGTATAAATATGTTCTACAACAGGGTTTGTTTATTTCTAACGTGCGTGCCATTAACCTAAAACACACTTAATAATCGGGTGTGAGTACACACGCTATTGAATGTAAACATTCGTGCACATTTAAAGTTTATCAGCATATGAATAAAGATCATATCTTACAACGCAAACACTTGTACGACGCATACAAACACGAGTTGCAATCGGCATGCAATCTTTTCATGTTCATATTCAACAATAGCAAAACGTGCGGGTTCAAATGAAGACTTGTCGATACTTCACCGATCTCGCGAGCTCGGGACTTTCTCGCAGTCTGTTCGACGCAATGAGTTAGTCAAGGCTGCTAGTCCTATCATCTTTCATAGTTAAGATCTGTATCTCAAAGCTCGACTTGCTCCACGAAAAAGATCGTATCTTCAAAGATTTCTAAGTACAGATCTTTTGACTGGGTTGTCGGAAAGGGTTCAAGTCTAGTATGGTCGCCAAGCCCTGTGAGATGGCGGGCAGCATCCAAGGGCTAGCTGTGCAATACGGTGGGAACCTTTGTGTTCTTGTCGCAAGTTATACTGTCGTGCTTTGTCTTACCCAGCATCTTTATGCTGAGATTAAAGTATTCGCAAACAAATCACTGATATATACTGACCTATAAAAGTTACAGACAATGAACATCTGGGGGGATATTTCCATGAAATTGTCTGGTCAGTCTTCACTACCCAACATATTCTCAGAAAGTATCATGTTCCCAAACCTTTTGTTCAGTATATGCTAAATTTGAGAGCGAGAAAGAGTTATCGAAAGCTGTGAGATTTTAAATTACATTTACCACAGTTTATGGTAGGTTCAGTATTGTCATGGCTTCTTTGGAAAATGTGGAAATTTGAGCTATTAAAATGTCTGACTACGATATCCCATTTACAAGTTGTGTAAGTTACGAAAAATAGGAATTGTAGTCAATATCAATTGAATAATTTAGCTTGGAGAATTGTTCTAGTTCTGGAGTTTGCCACATACGACGTTGGCCTGCCCTGATCCTCGTACCTGGAAACTAATAGTGTGATTCAATATATCCCGACGTTCTAACAGCACATTAAAGTATAAGTCTAAACCAGCGAGGTCATCACTAGCGGTATATTGGCAATCTCAGGACATGCTTAGTGTGTAACAAACGTGATTCACGCTACGGAATCACCGCCGCCATTGTTTCCGAGCTAACCCCTGTCTCGCAAACACCCGTCGCCTTTCTGTGAACACATGGAGAAGTGGTTTCAGTATGTCTTGTCATGCAACCAAGCTATTCATCACTGTTCACAGCCAGGTCCAGGACTGTCGTCTACAGCTGGTATTGTATTACCGTCTATGGCCTGCACTGACCCCAGACGGATGACGTTGCTTCACACTGCCGGTAGATGGCGTTGACCCCGTGACGTCGCACTTGTCGCCATTTGTCGAATTGGTGTTGACGCACATCCTTGAGTACCGTTATAGTTAGACCAGGGCTTTGTTTTAGCCTGATTTGAACGAAACCATGTCAAAAATCAGTAATCACATTATCCGTTTGATGTTTGACGGTGCAGTCGGTAGTATTACAATAATATGACAGTGTCTTTGAGCCTGGACCAGACAATCCAGTGATGGACATCGTTCAAGTCAGCGAGACTGACCATGCGATCCTACAAGTCGACTAACTGAAGACCAGTTATAAACGTGATATTCACGGATCCATTTGTTCAAAGCACTCCTGGTCAGCCCTTTGGGTTTTCCTCCCTCGTCAAGTTGGAGATTGCAATGTTCAGTTAACTCACTCACTCAGAAATGAAGGCCATGGCAGGCGTACCTTACAAGGATCACCTGACCTAAACGGTACTCCATGCAAGTCCATGTTTGCTGGAGACTCGCACGGGTACTAAACGGCGGAGGTTCAATATTTATATTTCACTGATAGGCTTCGTCGAGCTTTTGTTACGACTGTCTTATGCTTACTGTTGGCAACAGCGCTGCTATGTGGTTCACTGCCAAATGGCGGGTTAAGAGTGTTTGTAGAAGAGTGTCTCTCCGCCTTACCTCTCCGTCAACCAATACCGACACGCTGGGCTTTTGGGCCTCGTTTGTTACGGTACAGCGGACCCGAGAGGCAAGGATAGAACTGTCGGGGAGGTATTATACTACTAATTATCGCCCTTTCTCCATGCCCGACGGGCGACTGCCTTTTTCAATGCGACGAAAAAATTATGAAGTTCCTTTGCAAATTACTCGACTTGGGAATTGTAACCCACAATTGTCAAGCGCTCTCGGTATTTGTTTGGGTTATGTCGAGTTACTATGAAGCCCTTTGAGTAAGTTTTGCGCAGCGATGGTACAAGTTCAGAAGTCACGCATACAACATCATCAAGTACCCGAGTACAGCGGGGTACATCACAGGGAGTGACAGTATAAAAAATGTAGAAGAATCATCCATGTCGTCCTGGAATGCTAGAATGGAATGTCGTCTTGGAATGCCAGAAATCTGTTATAGTGGGTTCGAATCCCGATTCGTCCCGATTATGTTTCAAGGTTTGTTGGCACCACCCGTGGTTGTGGGTTTCACTAATGTGGTTCACACTTGAGACCTGATTCATTTTGGAAATTCCTGACACGCTCTGATATAACGGGAATATTGTTCAACCACGTTCAACCCAACTCACAGGACAACATCAACTGCAATATTAGTCCACATTTAACAGTCAGATTAGCGTGATGGCATGGCGCTGAGTATAACATAAGATGTAGACCATTCATTTAGGGATGATATAACCCTCAATATTGCGCGGTGGGATATCGCCATATTCTGAGGCTGACGAAAGAAGATCTGCCAGTCGGTAGACCTTGTCTCTGTCATTCTCTGTGGAAGGGTTCATCAATCGTGCGCCCAATAACGCAGAAGGTGAAACGGGTTGTTTCTTTGCCAACCTCCTCCCATTGTCGCTGCTACGTTTTTCTGATGCCTAGATAGCTATGCATTATTCTGCTGTCCCGACTTAGCCGTTGCGACTACGCATGCCTGGACGCCGGAGATCCGTTTCCTGAAATCTAGACCGACAATCCAAGCATTCTTCTCCGTCGGGAGATACCGATACGGTCACGTGACCCCGCATCTCATCACTACAATCTCCCGAGTTGTCTTGTACCTCTTTTTTTTCAAAATGGCGGTCCCGTATCTTAACCTGACGTCGCGCTTTTCGCCTGTCAAGTTCGTCTACATCGTCAATTCTTCACTTCGGGGGCGTCCGGTACACCTCGTGGCTGAATGTCCTCTCGTGTTATCAACATACGGGGGATTGGTAAATAGAGCCTGACACCCTTTCACGTGCAATCAGCTGATAGGATAGAGATAACGTGATTAGCTTGATTCTCAAGAACTAAAAAGATGTCTTTCAGAAGGCATATGTACCCACGTAAACTGTAGCCCCACAGGGAAGTGCGACTTTTTTCATGAACTAAAATGACTAAGCTGCGATTTATAAACTCGTGAAGTATTAAGAAGGGCTCATGCTATTCTGATGCCTCGAAAACAGCTGCTGCTGCTGATGTATAGTAGTACATTGTATATCTATTGTTAATCTGCACTATGTTATAAGTGACAATATTCTATAAACTACATAAACGAGATATTTTATATTGTTTCTACGTGGAAAGTGCGCAATAAAATATCTTATAGATAAGACATTTATTGCATAGCATTCCATGAAGAAACTGACAATATTCTATAAGCTACATATATAAACACAGCAGGTACAAGAAATATAGACACATTTCACACATAAATGATGTACATAATAACATTTTTTTAGAAATCATGTCGTATAATGACATAGAAATAATATATGAGGAGACTATGGTAAGATGTAGAATTTATTTAAAGTTGTAACGATGGTGACATTTTGGAAATTAATTCAGGACTTCTGTTCGTGAAAATTATTATGAATTGTTCTTTTTGAGAGTGTAGTAAATTCTTGGTCATAATAAAGCATTGTGTGTATAAGTGTAAATCTTGTATCTATGGCCAGACTGGATAGCCGGTATGCCAAACACAAATAAGCGTATTTGAGACTGGTCACTTACCATGGTTGGTGGGGAGGGTCGGCGATATTGGGGAGGGGAGGATGGGGGAAAGGGTTTCATGACAAATGTCTGGGAAAGAGGGAGATTTAGCACTGACTGGAAATAAATCAAAATTGCGTGATTGGGCGTGTTTCGAATTGAAGAAATCATGAATTCTGGGTATTTTTAACAAAAATTAAAAAATGTTATATTATGTGATTGGGGCCCTGGGGACTGGGTCAGCGAAATGTAATACAGTCTTCAGGCCATTCCACCTTCCTGCCTTTATGGTAAATTTCCAGTCCCTTTGATATATATCCTCGTTTACCACTCTTTGGCAATTGTACCAACTGGAACCGAAGGCGGGCTGGGCAGACGGTGGAGAACGTAAGCATGCTGCTAAGACTCGTCAGATAACATCACGGGGCAATAAAAAGATCTCTTAACTCACATCCACAACTGTTACAGTGGATCGCTAAATACCGAGGGGTCTCCCCGCCTCGATATACCGCGTTGTCTCCAGCCGACTGTGCACGAAAAGAACGTGCGAAGCGCCTTCGCGTCTTCAAACATGAACCATTTAATCTACTTGCATATTGTAACTGAGCAGATGAATTTCATTTACGAGGACAGTGAAAATTGAAATCGATAAATTTTTCCAGAACAAATATCTGATATATCAGCCTTGGAAACACTACAACAGCAGTAAGTCGCCGACTGTCGGTATCGTTCTACGAGGAGATCATAACGCTGGTTTAAAAGTTTCAGCAACATGAAGCCTTGTGTTGCGGCAGCTTTTTCTCAGAAAGAAGGAGATTACAAGCCAGAGGGGTCCTCTCTCCTTAGGGTGTAGGAAAATAGCCGGCGAGAAACAGGCTGTGCAGCGCATCTCATTCAGGTCCCGTGCTGTTTATTTAACGTCTTAAAGACGTTTCATGGACTGCGGTAGGTACTATCCTACCATTGCTGTGGAACAAACATTTGTGTAAAATCCTTTTATTGGTTTATCCGAAGCGAAAAAAACCGTCGGAAATAAAAACAGTTAATAGTGAGATGCAGGTAGAGCCGCTGAAACATGGCGGGTTTTATTTACATCTCCTTGCTTCGTTGTTGCTCATAACAGAGAAAGGTCATCACTGAACATTGGTGAATTCAAAGTTGGTCTTGCTAAATTACGCTCAAACGTTTGATCGTACGTCACACGAAGACACGGGAATATTCATAAGAGCCATGTTTAAGATGGTAACACAGGATGCCCGCTGTTTCAACCGGCGGCCGGGTCAGCAGCGACTCCATCAAAGATTTGCTCTTTCTGAACATGAATCAGAAAGCAGAAATAATGATTGCTTTTGTACAAGGATCTACAGACGTTCGAAGATTATCTGGTGCCATATGTTTGGAAAAAACAGTGGAGTCTCCGTGGTAACAACTGTTCTCTGATAACATCGGGCAGACGATAGGGTCTCATTACGTTCTCTCATCAAGTAAAATGGCGGAAATCGTTGGTAATGAGATTTGTTGTCACAGTGTGGCGACGGGGGGACGATATTTAAAGAAATAAACCTATTACCCTGGCTTGTTATTCCATGTTAATCAATCCAGTCTCTCCTCACTCGCCACCAGCTCTATCATTTACAAGCCAGTCGTCATTGACTGGTGATTCCACGCCTCTTCAACAGACATGTTGTGGCTCGTATTTAGTTCACTTTGAGTAATGTTGGTCCAAACGGGTCGTATTAGGCTCCAGTAGGTTACAATTATCCCGAAAGAAGCAGACTTGACATATATGCATTCATACGAGCGATCCCATCCATTTTATCTTCGTCTCTAAGAAGTTAGATATATGTCGTCTGCTTCGCGTTCGCCGTCATCGCGGCATCGGAACTGCATTGAGACAATGGATGACAAGAGAGCATGGCACCTGCCGAGTCTGCTGGATCCGGAGGATGAGATCCGCAGCTAATTAAAGCCTCTAATGACATAAACGAGGCTACAAGCCTTTCAGACATCGGCGGACCTATGGTCACTGTCGCCAGCGGTTCTGATTTCCGAGATGCGAGTCGCCGCGATGTCGCGACGGAAACTGCCGAGAGCAGACGGAAGAAGAGGGAAGCGTGATTCGGCTTGTATGTTGTTCTCAATGACAGTAGTATGATTGTAAACATTGTAGCAGGCTTCGACCAAGATCGTCAATATTTATACGACACCGCTTCCCCTCTATACGACGATTGATGGTAGAGGCCACACAAGGCTAGCCTAGTCGGACTGGCGTACTTAAAATCCTGTTGTACAAAACGTGACTTGTGTTATTGATACAGATATTTTCTTACACGGATAATATTTAGATGAGCTGATTAAAGAGAGATTGTAACGTAATCAGGTTATTTCTGTCTGCCTGTCTATTCTTGGCCGTTGAAACCCATGCACTTGCAGTAGAAATCAAACTTGAATGTTAGTTCGGAAATAATACCGAACGTGAAATAAGATATTTAAAAAATATACTGGGTTCACACCGATGTTCGTACACTAACCCCACTACAATTCATCCCAAAGCGTCGCTGCATTTTAATCGTATATTTACGCCCTTATCGAGTGTACTTTCGCTCTAGTGTAAAATTAAAACCGATTTAATATTATTCAAACTGCTACTGTGGATTCCAACTGCGCCGGATGAGAATCCTGCCTCAGCTCACTAAAGATGTAGTTTTGAAAGTTTATAACCCTGTTCCACCAAGGCCTGTTTAGAGCGTGGTCGAGTCAACAGCGTGTTAAGTTGTATTGGATGCTATAACGAAACAGGGGTAAATATTGTAACATCGCTGTTCAAAGCGGGCAAATATTGTAGGGGCAGGGATAGCAGCCTGGTCTTAGCGTTTACTGGCGTTGACGTGCTGAATTTATGCATGAAGTGCAGGCTGCACTTAGAAATGTGCTGCGAAAGTTTAAAAAAGTGATTGGATATAAAAACTCGAACCTCGACCAGAGGGAAAGCTTGAGGTCGAAAAAGGTTGAAATGCGGTTAGAATGTCGCTTGAGGTTGACAGTAAACACGGGATATTATAACTGTTCGTTAAAAGACAACCGCGTGTAAAAGTTTCATCTGATGTGCGAGAAAACACAGGGTTTTAGACGTGAATACAGAAGCCGTGAAAACGTTCACACACACGCCAACCTTCATGCATCTGATATCAGCGGGAATACATGTACATAACGACTGTCTGTATCCATAAACTAGCTCTCGATGTTATGTACACGAACTAAAGTACTAGCGTACTTATAATGAATGACTGACTGACTGACTGAGTTTGGTTTTACGCCGCTTTTAGCAATATTCCAGCAACATCACGGCGGGGGACACCAGAAATGGGCTTCACACATTGTACCCATGTGGGGATTCGAACCCGGGTCTTCGGCGTGACGAGCCAACGCTTTAACCACTAGGCTACCCCACCGCCCCTAATGATTGAATGAATGCTTGTGCATTATCATACATATATTATACGTGCATCAGGATGCATGTTGAGTACGGACACGCCTGATGTGGGTGTTTTTATAAAGTCACGGGACAAGAATAAACTGTCATTAAAATATTTTATTCCCTATCGCAAAGCTTTCCTGTATGTTTTATGACATCAGAGCAACTAATAATTCTAATTTCAACGTTTAACCTTATGAAAATTTCATCCGGCGCCAATGTTGGTACAAAAAAGTACTTTACGCCCATAATATACGTATTGGATATCAACTAAAGGGAGGGGATAAACGTGAGGTAATAAACGTCATTTTAGTGTATTTCTGTCTAGAACAAGCCCTTTATTTTTAAGTTGGATATAATATCAAATGAAACAGTGTTCCGTTGTGTCGCCGTGGTGGCTTCCAATCACCATGGGAGCCAGCCGGCAGCGTCACCTATGTCGCCGGTGACGTTTCTGCGACGCAGCGCTGGGTGTTATGGGAAGGTTTATGACGTCACCCGCTGTTTTATGCAGACACGCGCCCTGAGGTGCCGCCGGCACGGAACGATCGTGACATTACTGCCGGCAGGATGTGGAGGCCCTGTTAGGGTGCTTTTATGGCGCACAGTCTGTTACTGTCATGAAATCCAGAAGGATTCACATGTCACCACCACTTTGGGTATTCCTTATTTATATAAGTGTGATATACGATGGTAGATTGACCCAACCTGATGGCGTCAAGCTATGATCACAGACCTACACCCAAATCGAGTCGTGTTGGGTCAGATTACGGATATTACACGGAATCAAATTAAATCCCGAACATGAACTTTCTTTAACGTTAAGGGTAACATTCTAGACATAAGTACCAAGTTGATAGAGCTTTAAAACTGGAAGTTGTTGACCTCATTTCGGTTTTATCGTAAAAGTACGATGCGCCTTTTAACACCACCCACAGCGTCACGTGGCCAATATCTGTCACGTGATCCCACAAAGCACGCGGTGATACGTACCTCAAAAGTAAATATTAAATAGATGTTTAGTCACTGTTGTGAGTAGAAACATTGCTCCGGCATTTCGTGACCACAACGTTCCATTTTGCGACACTACCAGGAATATCTGGTGTCAAAGACTTTTGTATTTGGCACCATATTATAGGGACCGTTACTACAATAAGCATCACCAAAAATGGGGTTTAATGTCAAATTAAATGACGAAGTTCCAATATCGTTTTATGAGTTTTTCTTATTTTACCTTGTATTAACGTAATTATTTTTCGTTTCAGGACACACAAAGTCAAATCCGGTCGGAAATCACGTTTACTATTCTCGACGAGACCCTGAACGAGACTTGTGGTTCAAGGCCGCCGTGATTGCTGTGCCCATTGCGGGAGGATTCATTCTTATTCTTCTGGTGCTTCTCGCAGTGCGCATGCTCAGAACAGACTCGAGACGCCATAGACGTCTAATTCAAGTGCGCCGGGAGCGCAGTCTTACCAAAGCTCAACTTTACGTCACAGATCATTTCAGCGACAAGTCCGAGAACTCTTGCACACTTTTCCCCGACAAAAGCAAACCAAGCATATGTCGCGACATCAACATCAAAGTCGATAAAGACGGCCGAATTTATGAAAAAGTTGGTGATAAAAAAATACACAGACACTCGCATCCATCATCAGTAATTATGTGGGGGAAACCCTCCAAAAACGATCTGCCAACCGTTGTGTGATAAGCACGTGCATTGTGGCACACGTGTAAACTGACAATTTTGCTACAGGTGTAAATGGGTGACGAGTGAGTGAGACGTGTGCATGTATTTGGCCATGAAATGGTCGGTATGATCCCCTCGCCCCGGGCTATTTCAGAACATGTAGAGGATCAGGGCGGACCCCGTCCTGTTCGTGAAGTTTGTGTGGTGGTGTACCGAACACCGGCCAACCACTGATTGGGAGGAACAATGTGCGGAGATACCAATGTCGGACTTTCATCAAATGTCATTATTTTATTTTATACAAAAGGCTTATTTATTGATGTAAAATAAACACTGGACGGAAGATCCCTGTGAAATGTTCACATTGTTGTGTTTTGGTTTCAAACAGAGAAGCAAACTCGAAAAGTAGCAATGTATTGATTATTGGCAATTTACATTCGGAAACACGTTTGGGTCGTGTAGTATTATGACGTAATACCGAAACTGTTGCATGTAGAGAGAAGATCCATCGCTGAAGCGTGAACTGTTGCACACACGAGGTCAAGCTGGAAACACTCGCAAATACCTCACATGCCGATAATCGACTGGTTTCCATAGAATTAATTAAAGAAATGTGTCCTTTCAAGATGGACAATATCCCCGAGATAAGAATAGCTAATGCAACAGATGCAGCAACTTATATGTACAGCAAGGCAGCTTACAGTGAACGTAAGACAGTTAGAATAGGGAGTACCCCACAACAATGACAAACTAAGAATAGATCACTATTGACTGATCAAACTACCTACTGCTCTAAGACAACCGGCATAGCACTCATCATATGAAGAAAGACGTTAGAACATAAGACACACATTTAACACAACCTCGTTGACATTGTAATCGGAAACCTATGCATAATCTAAGTGCGTCGGATCTATATTGTCGACAATATAGTTAAAACTCTCCGCACACCTATACAATGTACAGTGTCTATCGTCGTGACTAGGTTCAATATAGTATGAACAACCACTGCATCTCACAGTCGTTGTCGTCAGTGTTATGAGACTCACAAACCAAAGTATCACAATATCGACATCGTCGTCAGTGTTATCAGAAGAAGATGCACAACTAAGTATCACAATAGCGATATTGTCAACAATGTAATCAGAACAAGACCCACAACGAAAGCATCATAATGTCGATTTCGTCAACAATGTATTCAGAACAAAACGCACAACAAAGTATCATAATATCGATTTCGTCAACAATGTATTCAGAACAAAACGCACAACAAAGTATCACAATTTCGATATTGTCAACAATGTATTCAGAACAAAACGCACAACAAAGTATCACAATATCGATATCGTCAACAATGTAATCAGAACAAGACCCACAACCAAAGTATCACAATATCGATATCGTCAACAATGTATTCAGAACAAAACAAACATCAAAAGTATCACAATTTCGATATCATCAAAAATGAAATCAGAACAAGACCCACAACCAAAGTATCACAATATGGATATCGTCAACAATGTATTCAGAACAAAAAGCACAAAAAAAGTATAACAATTTCGATATCATCAACAATGTATTCAGAACGAAATGCACAACCAAAGTATCACTATATCGATATCATCAACAATGTAAACAGAACAAAACGCACAACCAAAGTATCACAGTATCGACATCGCAACAATGTAATTAGAACAAAACGCACAACCAAAGTATCACACTATCGATATTGTCAACAATGTTATCAGAACAAAACGCACAACCAAAGTATCACAATATCGATATTTCCAACAATGTAATCAGAACAAAACGCACAACCAAAGTATCACAATTTCGATATCTTCAACAATGTAATCAGAACAAAACGCAAAACCAAAGTATCGTAACAAAACCTAAGTATCGCAATATCGAAATCGTCAACAATGTATTCAGAACAAAACGCACAACCAAAGTATTACAATTTCGATATCATCAACAATGTAATCAGAACAACACCCACAACCAAAGTATCACAATATCGATATCGTCAACAATGTAAACATAACAAAACCTACAACCAAAGTATCACAATATCGATATTTCCAACAATGTAATCAGAACAAAACCCACAACCAAAGTATCACAATATCGACATCGCCAGCAATATAATCAGAACAAAACGCACAACCAAAGTATCACAATATCGATATCAGTTAACAATGTAATCAGAACAAAACGCACAACCAAAGTATCACAATATCGATATCGTCAACAATGTAATCAGAACAAAACGCACAACCAAAGTATCACAATATCGATATCGTCAACAATGTAATCAGAACAAAACGCACAACCAAAGTATCACAATATCGATATCAGTTACAACAATGTAATCAGAACAAAACGCACAACCAAAGTATCACAATATCGATATCGATCAACAATGTAATCAGAACAAAACGCACAACCAAAGTATCACAATATATTGACATCGCCAACAATGTAATCAGAACAAAACGCACAAACCCAAAAAGTATCACAATATCGACATCGTGAACAATGTAATCAGAACAAAAGGCACCATGCGTTCCTGATACTTTAAAATATATACTGGAAATGTTCTTAAACAACATGAGCAAGTGAATGTATGTACAAAGTGGACTTTGAAGGCCCACAGTATCGCTGACAGAATGCACAAAGAAGTACCATATAGTACCACCGTAGTACCATGTTAAGGCAGGAGGAACGCACAGCGCTACGTAGACGTAGGTATCACACAGGGAGCGCATCAAAAAACAGAACCTAGCGCAGTAGACTCGAAGAAAGGCTGCATGAAGGTTTTGACGCAGAGCCACAGTAGAGCAGACAGGACTGAGTGTTGTTTTACGGCTCCTCTGTCAACATGCCAGCAACATCACGGCTGCGAACACCAACAAGGGGCTTCACACATTGTACCCATGTGGGGAATCTATTCCGTGACGCATCATGATGACCCGCAGTAGAATACACGCTTCAATGCTCTGTGTGTGTGTGTGTGTGTGTGTGTGTGAGAGAGAGAGAGAGACAATGCTGTGTGTGTGACAATGCTGTAAGAGACAATGCTGTTTGTGTGTGACAATGCTGTAAGAGACAATGCTGTTTGTGTGTAACAATGCTGTAAGAGACAATGTTGTTTGTGTGAGACATTGCTGTAAAAGACAATGCCGTGTGTGCCAATGCTGTGTGTATGTGACAATGCTGTTTGTTTGTGAGACAATGCTGTAAGAGACAATGCTGTTTGTGTGTGAGACAATGCTGTAAGAGACAATGCTGTTTATGTGTGACAATGCTGTAAGAGACAATGCTGTGAGGGACAGTGACGTGTGTGTGAATGCTGTGTGTTTGTGACAATGCTGTATGTATCAAATCTGTTTGTGTTTGTGACAATGTTGTTTGTGACAATGCTGTATGTGTCAAAGCTGTTTGTGTATGTGACAATGCTGTTTGTGTATGTGGCAATGCTGCATGTGACAGTGTTCTTTGTATATGTTACAGGGTTGTACATGACAACGTTGTATGCATATCTGCACGCTGGCTGAAACATCCATCATCACAAATGCCACTTCCCGCTATTCATCAACCCATCACATAATAGAGGTGTAATAGTTTCAGCCAGTTCTTAACCTCGAACACAATCAAATGTATTTATATCTCTTTGTGTTGGAAGGTAGGTCATGCAAGAGCAAAAGGACTGATCTTATCTGTAGGATCTCCGGAGCTGATGACAACTGACTTGACAGATTCAGCCACGACTATATGTGCCACATGAATGGGGTTGTTAACACACAGCTACAGTTGGGAGCCTCTCTGTCGTGAGCTGGATGAACACCAATGAAATAGTCTTATTATAAATTAGCATGCAGTATCATGTTTTGGCATGTGTTATAAGGTTGCTTATTAACCATTTGCATTGTAACAATCTAAACTGTTGTATCTAATCTATTGTTTGTTTCCCCTATTATTCAGAGTAATTAAATCCATTGTTCAATTCTACAGTCATATTTTACAATCTCCAAGTACCATTTTAGAACATGCTTTTAATGAATCAATAAAGATTGCCAAACACAATATTTGATGGTACTATAAAATCAGTTGCCTTTTAGATAAGTTTAACACCAAGGAAAGTAATCTTACTTCCTCTTCTGTACTGAGGACCTCCAATTGAAATTTACAGACATGTTACACATATCTTTTCAAGATAAACCAAACACAAACCTGAAATTAACTTTGAACCACACCTACAACACTGCAAGATACAAAAACACCGTATCCACTTCACAAAACTAAGACTGAGTGATCACAGGTTAAAAATTGAACTGGGTAGAAGAACAAGACCACCTACACCTTTGGAGGACCGTCTCTGTGATAAATGCTCTGTCCTTGAGGATGAAGAACATCATTTCATGTGCTGTTTTAATATTCAGATCCAAGAAACTCCTTATTTAACTCCCTTTCCTCTAAAACTAATAACTTTCTCAGCCTTACTACCATAGAAAAAAATAGCCTCCTTCTTAGAAATAATGATCGCAATAGTATCGAAATCATTTGCTACCACATGTACAACTTCGAACAAATATAGAAGATCTCCTGATTGTCCTAGGCCATTATTATACACATTTGTATTATTATATGTTTTGTTACTCATCATATATATATATATATGATTCATTATATATCTTGTTTATTTAGTTTATAGAACATTGTCACTGTTTCTGCATGGAACTTTTGCGCAATAACAATATCTAATCTTAATCATGTACAATGCACTGAGACGCCAGGTGATTGGGAGAACAACACCAACAACCTGCGTGAATACTGTCGACAATCTGGGTTTGTCTGAATGTTGTGGACAATCAGTGTCTGTGTGAATACTGACGACAATCAGGGCATGTGTGAATAATGTCGACAATCATGGTCTGTGTGAATACTGTCGACAATCAGGGCATGTGTGAATACTCACGACAATCAGGGCATGTGTGAATGTTGTGGACAATCAGGGTTTGTGTGAATACTGTCGATGATCAGTGTCTGTGTGAATACTGTCGACAATCAGTGTCTGTGTGAATACTGTCGATAATCAGTGTCTGTGTGAAGACTGTCGACAATCAGGGTCTGTGTGAATACTGTCGACAACCAGGGTCTGTGTGAATACTGTCGATAATCAGTGTCTGTGTGAATACTGTTGACGTTCAGTGTCTATGTGAATACTGTCGACAATCAGGGTCTGTGTGAATACTGTCGATAATCAGGGTCTGTCTGAATAGTGTAGACAGTCAGGAATTTGTCAACAATCGGAGTCTGTATGAATGCCGTGGACAATCAGGGTTTGTGTGAATACTGTC